AGTCTCTCTCTTCTCTATGGAGTAACTTCCCTTCACTTAGGTTTTGAGGAACCCTAGTTCCATGTGTTAGGATCTTTCTTGTATGAAGTTTTGGATGCTATATTGTTTGATTATAATCGAATGAGGCATGAGTTATTGAGTCAATTGAATCTTGAACAAATTCTCTTGATTTCTGCTTTAACCTATGATAGATAGAATCTGATTAGGTTAAGAGAGATTCCTTGATTGATAGTGGTGAATTGGTTGTGCGAGAGTCAATCAATTCACTACTTTGTACTGGAATTCATTCCAGTAGTGGAGATCTGTGTGAATCGCCTTAGCAGTCTATCCCGGTGAAGGCTAGTCGCCTGCCGGGTATTCTGTCTGAGAGGGCTTGGTCAGCTTAAGAGATTCTAAGCTAATTTAGGATCTTCCGCAGTTTAATCCACAGTAGATCAACCAAAGGTACTTGCAACTTGGACCTAATTGAGGAGTTAGGGGGGAATCATACCTAAGTGAGTTCCCAACTTGTAATTAGTAGAGTAGTCAGTAGAGTAGTTTATCAATCAATCCTTAATCTAGTTTGCTAGATAATGAACTGAAGCTGAGTAATAGTAACTCTAGAGACCCGTGGATTCGATATTTATTACTTGTGCCACTATACTGCAGTCCCTTTCATTGGTTACACTTGGCCATTGTTAGGTGTTGTGTTTTAGCGTGTCAATAACGCATCTCCATTGATTATCAGCGACTAAATGACGCTACTAGGAAATATCATTTCACTTTACCCTTCATTGATCAGATTTTGAAAAGATCAACGGGGCATAACTTCTATTGCTTCTTGGATGGGATGTCTGGTTACTTTCAGATTACGATCACCCCCAAGGATCAGGCTAAAACTAGGGATGGCAATGGGTCGGGTTGGGCCAAACCCAAACCCATGGGTTTATCCGTGAAAAAAACCCGGGGTAAAACCCACTGGGTTTGAAAAACTCAAACCCAACCCAACCAGCTGGGTATCCGCGGGTTCATGGGTACCCACGGGTTTTTGTCAGAAAAAATTCACAATAACAAGTTCCTATCAAAATTAAAGTCAAATATCAATCTCTGAATACAAATTATCCATATATAAAACACCATTCTAGAATTAATATTCAAGCAAATCACAAATTAACTATACAAATTGTTCAACACCAATCTAGAAAACTCAAGAAATTGAAGCAAATCACAAATTATCCATAAATAACATGATTAATTGAAAGCTTTTTCCTTTCAATTAAGTTTTTCACTCTCCACTCGATAACATCAACTTCATTCTACATAACTAGAAAGAAAAAATTAGACATGTCTCCACAAACATAAATAAGATTAGTTGTTTAGAATATTAAATATGCCGAGAAAATTAATTATATGGGTGTGGGCGGGTACCCATGGGTCGGGTTTATCTAAACCCAAACCCAACCCGGTGAATAGTAAACGGGTTTAAACCCAAACCCGGCCCAAAACCCGTCAACACGAATTTTACCCGCGTTGACCGGGTTGGGTCGGGTGGGTACCCGTGGATTCGGGTTTTGTTGCCATCCCTAGCTAAAACTACCTTCACCTTCTCTTTTGGCACTTTTGCTTACCGGTGTATTCCATTTTGTTTATGCAATGCTTCAGCCACATTCTAGAGGTTCATCGTGGCTATTTTTGACAAGTTAGTGGGGTAGGTCATGGAAGTTTTCATGGATGATTTCTTGTTTTTTGAGATTTCGCTCTCTCAATGTCTTGCCAACCTAGAGACTAATTTGGCTCTAAGCTGGGAGAAATTGCATTGTTTTGGTTTAGGAAGGTATTGTGTTAGGACACAAGATTTTAAACAAGGGTATCGAAGCGGACATAGCAAATGTTGATACCATAAGCAAGCTCCCACTTCCAACATCCATCAAGGGGATTTGGAGTTTCTAAAGGCATGCGGGTTTTATCGATGTTTCATAGAGAACTTCTCCAAAATTGCATTGCCATTGTCGAAGCCTCTTGAGAAGGATGCACCATTTGTCTTCACAAAGGAATATTTTGAAGCATTTGACATTCTCAAGGAGAAACTCACTATTGCTGGATCATGCTTTCTCCGGATTGGAATCTACCCTTTGAATTGATGTGTGTCGCAAGTGATTATTCAGTGGTAGTGGTGTTGGGGCAAAGGAAAGACAAGTACGGTCAATCTATTTGCTACGCTTCGAAGACTCTAAATGGGGATCAAGAGAATTACACCATCACCGAAAATGAGTTTTTGGCAGTCGTTTTTTCCTTTGATAAGTTTCGGTCATACTTGGTGCTATCAAAGGTAATCATTTACATCGACCACTAGTCCGCTATTCGATTTCTGATGAGCAAGGCAGATGCCAAATCATGACTTATCCGGTGGATTCTTCTTTTGAAAGAATTTGATGTTGAAATTCGGGACAAGAAGGGAGTGGAAAACTTGGATGTTAACCATCTTTCCCAACTCGAGGGGCCTATGACCATACAAGGAGCGATAAATGAATCATTCCTCAATGGGAGGTTGTTTGTACTATCGGTGGTGGAGAGCGCATCACATTGGTTCGCCGACTTCGCCAACTTTTGGTGGGGGAAAAATTGCTAAAAGGGATGAGTACCCACGAGAAAAGGAAGTTCTTCGTCGACCTTCGTCTTTACTTCTGGGATGACACCCAAATCTTTCAAATAGGAGTTGGTGGGTTTATCCGGCGATGTGTCTCGGATGGAGAGATGAGGGTCATCCTTGCCCAATGTCTTAAAGGACCCACAGGGGGGCACCACGGGTGCAACCACGCGGTAAGAAAGGTTCTTCGATTGGGATTCTAGCCTTCCCTATTCAAGGACGCCGACGAGTTTGTTTGGCAATGCGACAACTGCCAGCAGTCAGGTAACATTTTTTAACTGCAATGAGATCACCATCATTATTACGGTGATGGTGTTGCATGAGGTTACGAATGGGGTGGTTATTCAAACAACTATGAAGGAGTTAGTTGTACATGTGGCGATGTGAGAGTTGGGGTACCATGGGAAGTTGTTGCTTTGCATCGTATTATTTCTGTTGAGCTCGCCCCATTAGTTGAGTCAGATGGCATTCAATGGCCGACTTTGGTTCCATAATGGTTTAACATTGAAAATACCATTTGGGTATCCAGGCGATCGACACATAGCCGAGATGATGATGTTGGCGGTAATGGTCGCGAGGTTCCACTGATGAGATGTCGAGTTATCCTTTCACAAGCGACGAGGATAGCAAAGAAGATTTGAGATCTGTGAGTGAGGAAGATGTACAGGCGATTTAAGGTTGGGTATGGGAGAAACCTACTCCATACTACACAAATATCCCTACTCATCCCTTATATGCTCATAACGAAGATACCACACATGCTCCTCTTTCATACTTTCCCAAGACCACCGTCAACTGAATGCAAAGAAAGTGAGTGCGACTATTAAGCACTTGATCGAGGCACAACCTGACATCACCATCAAAGCTATACATTCTATTCGGCAGATACACTAAGAGGGGGTAGCCTGGGTTGAACAGTAGATCTACAAATGCTGAACTTTGTGAGTCTTTTTAAATAAAAGGCGTTAAACTTGGGATGGGACATAACACTATAACATAATTCAACTTCATGCTAGACGAACATTAGAACATAACTACAAAACACTAGAACACACCTTAAAGGTGGTCGCAATAACACACAACTTCCTACTAAAATAAACTTAGCACTAGAAAATTAAAGACATAATATGGAAACTTAGCAAACAAACAACATATAACTACAACATAATTTTCATTGTAGTTGCCTTGATTTCGTCCTTGTTCCCCTAGTTCCCATCTTCCTCCTCTTCATCGTCCCTTTGTGGTCCTCTTCTTTGTCCTCCTTCTCGATGAGGTCGCAAGTTCCTTTTAACTCGAGCTGCCATCGGAGTAACCATGGGAGCTGGTGGCAGAGGTGTATGTGATGTACCATAAGGTGCAAGAATGGGGACGTGGCTCGGTGAACGGAATGACTCTGGCGGAGATTGATATTGTTGGTAAAATTGTATAAACCCTTAGGGGTGTACATGCTGCCTTGTTGTGAAGGGCCGCTGTTCGACGATGCTCCAATATGATCGGTTGGATTGAGGAACTCGAACTCTAATGGGTCAGGAAGGCGATGTTGCTCATTTAGGTGGACCACGACAATTGGAGGCTCATCTCGACGTTTGCTCTTCTGCGGAGGCTAAGATTGGGGTGGGGGGGGGGTGTTGGATGTCACTATCATGAAACAAGGGGCGTGGTGGTGCAGGCTAGGGCGGATATGCTATGACATCCCTCCACTGCTCTCATGTGCAACTCAAGAGGTTCTTGAAGAGCTTCCTTGGAAAAGAGGTTTTGCCACCATCCATGGTTGGTGCACTCTCCACTGTCTGACTTGTAATTTCCAAACCATCGACCTACGAAAGAAAAAAACATTTAATCAGTTAGAGGAAATAATTTTATCTTAAATTGAAAAAAACTATGATACAAAAAACTCACTTACCACAAAACCCATCACGACACCTTGTTTGAAAACTCATCTCAGCGGAAACTTTCGATACCACTTCATGTACTTATCATGGTACGTTTCAGGGTTACCATGAACCACCCACGCACCTCTGTTCTCCATATATTCAAGTAGTATTGGTGCTTCCGACACCAATCTCTTACTTTGTTGCACAAGTCCATCCAATAGAGTTCCTTAAACCCTAGCGATGGAATTTTCGGGATTGGTTGCTCCAAACAAAACTGCCTCAGTGATCTATCTAGTAGGTGCCACTAAAATGAAGTATAAATAATACATTTTACTTCTCGAGCTATAAGCGTAGAATAGTGTGTTTTCTCCTTTTCACGGTATCCAGGACCAGAATCCAGATGGCAAGTAATAATCTTACAGGGATAAATGACTGTAAGTTAAAAATGGTTAATTGGCTTCTGGTAAAATTCCGTTGCACACAAAATGGGAGTCGACTGTCTGTAACAAGAAATTTAAAAGTCAAGAAGCCCTTTGGCGCAAATGGCATTTCTCCACTCGGCATTCGATGTCAAATACAACCAAAGCTACGCCCCAGCGTTATACCAAACCGAACCTCCCTAAACCCGACAGATCGCCGCACCTCCCCGCCGGTCCATCGCCGGATCCGCTGCTCCAAGATGGCGCTTTCGTTTTCCCCGTTTCCGGGTCCTCCGGGATCGAAGCTACACCGCCGGGCGACAACCGGCAGCCTAACTCCTCTGCAGCTAATGCAGCGGCGGAATCTTCTCGATCGCGGACGAGAGTGTCGGAGACGAGCTGGTTGCCGCCGGGGTGGTTGGTGGAAGACAGGGTCAGAAGTTCGGGTGCGACGGCTGGGACGATAGATAAGGTTAGTGCCGAACTTTCGCATGTCAATCCTGCAGAATACTCATCGCCTTTGACTGGATCTTCCCTTGCTGCTGCCTTGAGATTGTGATTTATTGTAAGAGTTGCAGCTCTCACTCGTCTGTTAAGCTGCTGAGTATGGCATGAATCGGTTCAGCGGTTGCTAAATTTGGTTCGATTAGGTTTTCCCACGACTCTGGGTGAAATGAGAGGGTGTAATGTTTGGTTAGGGAGATGAAGATAGTTCAATCAGACAATGAAGTTTCGTATGTGCTTCTGCTCTGATCAGGAAATTGTTGCATTGAATCCCTTAAGCTTGTTCGATTGAGTTTACTGTCGTAGGAAGGTTGGCAAACTGAGTTGACCGGCTCTTTCTTACCAATCTGCAACTGGACACAGTCAATCTGTTTGAAACCCTAAGATAGGAATGCTTTGTCAGTTTCATTGCAGTTCATTCTTTATCACGACTGAGGCATCATTGCATGCACTCAAGTGATTTCTGGTTGATGGTAGTGTTTATCCTGGTTATGATTCGTCAACAAGTCGAAGTCTTGTCAGTTTATTTTTTATCTTCTTCTCTTCATAGGATGTGTCAATACCTTGGGAGGATAAATAAGCAGCTAAGGTTTAACAACAATAAGAAGTCCAGATTTAGAGGGTATTGTTTTAGTTTATTCTCGTAGAGATACATAAGTTGGTCTAAGATATGTTTTGTGGAAGTCTGCTTCAAGGGTAAGAAGTTCTCTCCTGGACAGTGATCATTAAAAGCTTCTTGTCCACTTCCCACTGATGTCTCGGTTAAATGAAGAGTTGAAAATATAGTAGGGGCTGAATCATCATTTTAGATATTTTTGTAACAAGAACGATCCTATGATGAGTTAATTAGCGACTGAGTATGCCTTCTATTGTGGCAGTCGTGTACCTTTCCTTCTTTTTTTAATGGTATAAAGACTAGTTAAGGTTTCACTTCAGAAGATTACCAACTGTTCTCTCAATCCTGATTCATTTGAGATGGCAGGAGTAGCCTTTAGTTTCTCGGATGCACAGCAGACAAGTAAGAACTTGGACTAACTGCTAGGTTGAGATTGGCCTTGATGCTTCTGAGAATGATTGAAGAAGTCAAAAGCTTATATGGGTTGCATTTTGGATTTTTTAGTCTCCAATAAGGATAAGGATATCTCTATCTATGTGCGAGTTTGTTACAGAATATTTGCTGTTGCTCACTGACATAGGATATCTCATTGAAGCAAGAATGCAGGTTGTGGTCAAATAGTTTGTAAAACAAGTTTAGGTCTCTGCTTATGGGTGTAAAAGGAACTTCAATGAGTTTCTCAATGTTCTCTAAACCGTATCGGAGATTGAAATGGTGAGGCTAAGCTTTGAAGGGCTTACTGAAAATTCTAATGAAATCATGACAAAACGTTACCTGGCTGGTCTCCAGTATGTGGTTCGACTGGTAATACCAATCGATATGGTGTGGTATCACAAACACCTGGGTTTTTTCCAAGAAGAAGAAACTAAAGGTTTCCATGGTGTCAATGAATGACTTGCATGTTGAGACAATATGTTTGCTAGAAGATGTTATCATTTACCGAATCGGCTGATATCCAACCGTGTTATTCCTCTTTTTCCTGGCATTTAAGTAAGTTCTCCCTTCCTACGTGGAGGACAATAATTTTTCTTTACTGGATGCAGTACTACTTTGATCCTGTCTCGCGCCGGCGGTTTAGGTCCAAGCGAGAGGTGCAGTATTTTTTGGAGACGGGAAGCGTGAAGAAGCAAAAAAAAGCAGAGAGCTCCGATGCTAATGCTAATGTAAGAAGTCCTACCTAACTGAAAATTGCTCCCTCTCAATATTTCTTCTTGACAGTTCTTGTTTATTAATGCTTGAAAGCTTTCTCAAGTCTGCAGAGGGATCCAGTGCTAAGAAAAGCAAGACGCCTAAAAAGGAAGCTAGGGTAGCTTCTCATTTGGACTTCAATTTTTCCAATGTGCCCGACAGTGTTGAATGGATCCTTGCTGATGCGAATAAAGGTACCTGGACACCGTCTGTGGCAGGTAAAAAGCCTCCTGATTCCGAGAGGCAAATCTGGGACGCTACCTTCAAGTATTTGGCTGCTAGAACTGCAGAATATACAGCAAAAGGAAAGCATCTGAAATGAAACATAGTCCCTCTCTCAGTAGCAGCTTTTGCTGTTCGGATATCTTCCACTTCATTTTTCGAGCCCCTCCTCCAGAGTTTGTTTCGACTTGCTTGATACTTCCGTCGGAGGCTGTATTTTAGTGTATGGTGAGGTCTTCCATTCACCAATGTACTATAGATTGTATCCTCTTACCACTCCAGTAGTTCCTGCAAACGCAAGAATATAAGCCTGCAGATGGTTTTATTTTCTTGATGCAGCTTTACTGAAACTAGAGACTGTGATTAGGACGTTTTTTACATTCAAAGTAAACCCATGCTCCTCCAGCCGAGAGGCATATGTTGTAGTTGTATCTGTATTGGGGGATTGTTAGAAACCGGCGGGTTGGGCCGGTTGGGTGAGGGAGTGGCAGTTTCGTTATTTTCATTATTCAGCTTTTGTATTTAAGAGGAGAGAACACTATTCTGCAGAGTTAGTCAATAATCAATATTACAATCAAAATCCCTAAATTCCCAATTCTCTCTCTCTATCTTCTGTTCTTCCCCAATTCTTCTCAAATCCCTAATTTCTTCTCTTCTCAATCCCTAATTCCCTTGTGGAACTTCTTTGTTTCTAACATCTGGTATCAGAGCCCCGTTCCGATCTGCGAGTTCTTCCCAACTCCATCAGGGACAGCTTAGAAACCAGAGAATCAGCGATGGAAAAATCAGAACTGTCATGGGCTCAGAAGCGAGAGAGGCTGTGGCAGATCGCGGATTATTGGAGGAAGGAGGCAGCGGCGTTCGGCCAGGCCGACCGAGGCGCGGTGGGCGGCGCGCGGCAGGAGGCGGCGCGCGAGAGGGTCGAGGCCGGTGCGGAGGGCGGCGCGCGGCTGGTGGCGGCGTGCGCGGTGGACGAGGAGGGCGCGGGGCGGAGCCCGACCGGCGGGGCTGGCGGGGAGGCGCGGAGGCGCGCGCGGCCTGCGGTGGAGGGCGAGGCCGATGGCGGCTGCGCCGGTGATGGCCGGATCGCGGGCGAGGAAGGAGGGGAGGCGGCGGCGATTTCCCTACACTCTGTAGCTGGGATTTCGTCGCCCGGAACCCTGAGATTTCGAGCAAGGGTGGCCGGGCAGCAGGGTCTTGTCCTCGTTGATAGTGGGGCCTCGTTGAATTTCATCGGGGAAGACTTTGCTAAGTCTTTACAGGTGACCGCGAGTCCGACGAGACCGGTGATGGTCCGGGTGGCTAATGGGGCGCCGTTGCGGTGCGTCGAGGTGTACAGGGACTTGGCATTGGAGATTCAAGGCCTGGAGGTTGTCACTGACCTCTATGTACTGCCTTTGCGCGGGTTCGACATTATCCTCGGTATACCTTGGCTGCAGAGCCTAGGACCGATTACCAGTGATTGGCGAAGGCTGACGATGTGCTTCAAGTGGAGGGATAAGGAGTGGAGTCTGAGAGACTTGACCACCGCCATTGGGCCGATCGAGATGGAGGAGTGCGCGAAGGGGGAGGACACCGAGCTCGCTGTCCTATGCTGGCCTCTATCTGCAGTAGGGAAGCCGGAGGTTGATGGAGAGATGCAGGAGCTGTTAGACCGGTATCCCGAGTTGTTCAGGGCGCCGACCACTCTCCCGCCTCATAGGCAGGTGGATCATCAGATTTGTCTGAAGGAGGGAGTGGAAGCAGTGAATGTGAGGCCATACCGTTATGGGCACTCGCAGAAGGGGGAGATCGAGAAACAGGTAGAGGAGATGCTTGCGACCGGACTGATCCGGCCTAGCATCAGTCCTTTTTCTTCGCCGGTGTTGCTGGTTAAGAAGAAGGATGGGACTTGGAGATTCTGCACAGACTACCGGGCTCTCAACAAGGCGACCGTGAAGGATCGGTTTCCGATCCCGACAGTGGATGACATGTTAGAACTGCATGGGTCGAGCTATTTCACTAAGCTCGACTTGAGAGCCGGTTACCATCAGATCAGGATGCAGGAGGAGGATGTGCCCAAAACCGCATTCCGCATAATGGCCACTATGAGTATTTGGTCATGCCATTTGGGCTGTGCAATGCTCCTTCGACGTTTCAGGCTGCCATGAACGACATTTTTCGGCCTCTCCTCAGACGGTATGTCTTGGTATTTTTTGATGATATCCTGGTTTATAGTCCTACTTGGGAGGACCATTTGAGACATTTGCAGGAGGTGTTTGAGATTCTTCGGAGGCACCAATACTATGTCAAGGCCTCCAAGTGTGAGTTTGGGGTGCAGAAGGTGGATTACCTGGGTCATGTGGTGACGCCTCAGGGAGTACAGGTGGACCAGGCCAAGATTCGAGCCATGGTGGACTGGCCCGTGCCCACCAATGTTACCGAGTTGCGTGGCTTCCTGGGATTGACTGGGTACTACCGGAAGTTTGTGCAGGGATACAGTATGATCGCGAGACCTCTGACGGACTTGCTGAAGAAAGGGGGGTTCGGTTGGTCACCGCAGGCAGAGGAGGCGTTCCAGAAGCTGAAGCAGGCGATGTCCACAACCCCCACCCTGGCCATGCCGGATTTCTCGAAGACGTTCGTGATTGAGGCCGATGCGTCTGGCCGCGGTATTGGGGCAGTGTTGTCTCAGGATCGACATCCCATTGCTTTCATGAGCAAGACACTACCTCCTTCGAAGGAGGCCTGGTCGACATATCAGAAGGAGATGCAGGCTATCATCACGGCAGTACAGATGTGGAGACCATATTTGCTGGGCCAGAAGTTTCACATCTATACAGATCATCAGAGTCTGAAGCATCTCCTAGACCAGAGGGTGTCGACGCCGGACCAGCATAAGTGGATTTCGAAGCTACTGGGGTATGACTACGAGATTCATTACAGACCGGGACCCACCAATGTGGTGGCCGACGGCCTATCCAGGCGCCCGGGTGGGGAGGTTCTCACGGCAGTGACCGGGCCGGTGCCGGAGTTTTGGGATGAGCTTCGTGCATCATTGGAGACCAGTTCCTATCTGCAGAGTTGCCGGGACATTGCTGTGAGCGACGAGCCGGGTCGCTACCAGTTCAGACAGGGGCTGGTCCTTTTCAAGGGTCGGGTGGTCCTTCCGCCGGGGTCAAACCTGGTCACGACTGTGCTGATGGAGTTCCATGACTCGCCGCTGGGGGGTCATTCGGGCGTGGAGCGGACCCTACGGCGGATTCGGGCCCATTTCTACTGGCCTCGCATGGCGGACGACGTGAAGAGCTACGTAGCGTCCTGTGACACCTGTCAGAGGGTGAAGTTATCTCACCTCAGACCTGCAGGGTTGTTGCAGCCACTACCGGTGCCGGAGCGGGTTTGGGAAGACATCAGCATGGATTTTATAGTGGGACTTCCCCCCTCAGGTGGCAAGACGGTGTTGTTCGTGGTGGTGGACCGACTGACGAAGTATGCTCACTTCATGCCTTTGGCTCACCCGTACACGGCAAGGGCAGTGGCTGAGCAGTTTGTATCAGGAGTGGTGCGGCATCACGGGTTTCCTCGATCTATTGTGAGTGATCGGGATTCAGTCTTCTTGAGTCACTTCTGGCAGGAGGTCTTTGCTATGGCCAAGACGGCGTTGAAGATGAGTTCGGCCTATCACCCGCAGACGGATGGCCAGACGGAGATCGTGAACAAACATCTGGAGCAGTATCTCAGGTGTTTTGCCCACCAGCAACCCAAGAGCTGGTTGGCCATGATTCCATGGGCTGAGTTGTGGTATAACACCACCTATCACAGGGCTATTCGGATGACTCCCTTCGAGGCTCTATACGGGCGAGCTCCGCCGTCCCTGGTGCGATACAGGGTGGGTGACAGTTCAGTGGATGCTGAGGACAGGTGGTTAGGGGCGAGGGATGAGGCGCTTGAGCAGCTGCGGAGTACGTTGGCGGCCGCCAACAACAGAATGAAGCAGTTAGAGGATGCGGGTAGGCGGGAGGAGGAGTTCGAGGTGGGTGACTGGGTGCTGCTGAGACTGCATCCCTATCGGCAGGCCTCGGTCTTCAGGCGCGCCTACCAGAAGCTGGCGGCTCGTTATTTCGGGCCCTACGAGATTCTGCAGAAGGTCAACCCAGTGGCCTATCGTTTGCAGCTGCCGGCAGAGTCTCGCATTCATCCTACCTTCCATGTTTCATTGTTGAAACGTTACAGGGGAGCAGCAGACAGAGTTGAGACGACAGCTCCGCCAGTCAGTGCAGATGGTGATCTTGAGCTGGAGCCGCTGAAGGTGCTCGAGACCAGGTGGGTGAAGAAGAAGGGTCGACTGGTGGAGGAAAGCTTAGTGCTTTGGAGGCATTTGGAGCCGGAGGATGCAACTTGGGAGGAGTCGGGCGACTTGCAGCAGAAGTTTCCGTACTTTGACCTTGAGGACAAGGTCAGACTTGAAGAGGGGGAGGATGTTAGAAACCGGCGGGTTGGGCCGGTTGGGTGAGGGAGTGGCAGTTTCGTTATTTTCATTATTCAGCTTTTGTATTTAAGAGGAGAGAACACTATTCTGCAGAGTTAGTCAATAATCAATATTACAATCAAAATCCCTAAATTCCCAATTCTCTCTATCTCTCTATCTTCTGTTCTTCCCCAATTCTTCTCAAATCCCTAATTTCTTCTCTTCTCAATCCCTAATTCCCTTGTGGAACTTCTTTGTTTCTAACAGGGATAGTTTTTGTTGACCAGAGTCTGGTATGGGCACAAGTCTTCTTTCTTGTTCGGGTCGTCTCATGTAGTTGGTTATGTATTAAATTCATTTTATTGTTTGATCGTGCTTATTCAATTTTCGACTCATCTCAGCTCGTATCACGGTGTAAGTAAAGGTGTCAAGTGTTGGCCTAAATCTGGTCTTGAAGTTTACTGTTAATGCTTAGCTTTAGGGGTAGGCAAACAATGTGGTTGGACCGCATATCAAGGTTGTATAGGATGGCAAGGCTAATTATAGCCAAAACCAAAGTAGAACCATTGATAATGTGTAGGGTATGGATGAAGTATATAATAAGTTTGGGAGTTTGTAGTATGGATGAAGTATATCAAGGTTGTCAAACCGATTTGTGCCGGTGCGCCGGTTTTACAACTAAAATGGTCCGATCGTGGTACAACCAGTATACATATCGGTTTATGCCGGTTTTGATATCATATTTAAATTATACGGGAAAATTTTAAACATCCATATGAATTCTTGAAAGTCCAAACGTGAATGGCCAAAAGCCCAAAACCATCTCAAATATCTAAACCTTCCATCTACTTAACCCACCAAAATCCATAAACAGAAGCCGCATCCAGCAAAAATTTCTTCCAAGCCCACAATCGCCGCTCCCTATCCTCGACCACATCAACCTCTTAAAACCCCCCAATCCCACTTTGCCTTCATGATCTCGTCGAAGACCACAACCGAT